GAAGTTTACAACAGTCAGTAGCACCAAGTGTAAACAGGTTGTTGTGGCGAGACTTATTAGGTTGAGTTCTGGTGCATTTTGTTGCCTACGCCCTACAGTACTCTTACAAAGCTGTGTTTTCATCATGTGTCCGGAACAGATGTGCTAAGTTGTCGATTTCTGTCTCTAACGTCTGTTTGAAGAAAGAAAGAAAAATTATCTAGAGAGGTTGGCGGTGCCAATGAGGGTTCGACAACAGTTCCGTCGACTCCGAGAAGCTCCTCCGCTTTTTTAATTTGTCGACGACACACGGATCCAAGCCCCCCAACCGGTTCCGCTCAAGCCTTTTTTAGACGACATTGATGCTTGGGCACGCAAATCTGGCCTCAAACAGGGTGTCATCAAACTCCGAGCACGATCTACCAACTTGCGACACGCGGCGCCAACCCTCCGTATAAATGGTGAGCTTATCACGCCGACGCTTGCAGCCACACCTTGGAACACATGTCACCTACCCCTGAAGATGGCTCCCACACATGTCAAGCCTAAACTCTCCAAATACCTGGGTTTCCCACTCTCCCACGGGATACCAGGGATAAATTTCGCCAGACATATGGAATCCCTGGATACAGCATTGTCTCTGGCTATTGCCTCCTTCCGCGCTTATGGTTTCCATGGCTTCAGCTGGCGACACCCCTGCAACAGGCTGGTGTTGTTCAAAACATTTATTCTACCCACGGCTACATATGGCCTGAATATTATTGCCTGGGCTCCACCTATATGGAAGGATGCGCTGGACCCCTTGTTTGAGCGTTATAATTCAGTACTCATTCGAGCAGCAGCCATCATCATGGGCACCAAATACCCTAGGTTTCCCAAACATCAAACCAACTTACTCCATTTTTGTGGCCTGCTCCCCACGCGAGCATTTGCGGGTTACCTCGGAGGTTGCCTAGGATTGCAACTCGACTCAATGGCCAGCACAAACTCACTCACACCTCTGACACAACCTGGTTGGGCCCACGACAAACCCTCACTGCGCTTCCCGTACAGTGTCAATGCCTACTTGAAGAGTGTATACAAAATCACGGACGGGCATACACCAGAACATGTAGCCCTCCGCCGATGATGTGACGACATTAGAAAGAATTCAACGAAACGCTAGTCCAACAAGGAGATCGCGGCAATGGCCCGGCGTCATTACTACTACCAACTGATCATGGGCAAACCGCCAACCTCAGATCGGGACAAAGCCATACACGACAGCTTCAACCGCTGCTTCGAGCTTACACCAATCAGTCTCTGTGCTATGATTATAACAAATACATACATGTTCACATTGCTCGAATACCGCACTGACGGCTGTCTCTGCCCTGTCTGCCCCGGTGGCCAAAAAATCACCACTAGCCATTTTTCCTGCATCCAGAAAATGATCCAATGCATCCTGGTAGGCCCAAAACTGCCTCTTATTGGCCCTGATCTTCTCCAGCAACCACAGGAGCGCCACGACTTCTATGGTATCTGGAACATCCACGAACACCTTGGATCTATTCTCCAGCATGTAGAACAGCCCCTGTACTCACACCCGTCTCTGACATATCAACAGATGTTTCCTATACCCCGGCTAGTCACGCTGTTGAAGTACTACTTCCAAATTTCGGTCCAAACCAATTCATCGCGCCTGTTGGTTCCGCCTATGATACTTCCAACACAGGCAAACCAGCACATGTCGAGTGCATCCGTGATCTGGTGCGGTATTGGCTTACCCCCATCCTCACTTCTCGACCGGATTAAGACGGATAACCTGGTCCTTCTCGGTATTTCGTACTCTGCACTAACCCATTCCGCGGCCCTACACGGCGCAGACCCGATCCGTACCACAGAGGTGGGTACTCTACTTAGTAGGTCAGCAAGTGAATATATGGAACATTCGATAGTAACAGTGTTTTGTCAACACCGGCCCGAATTGACTCAGCACATATCTTCCATTGTCGACTCACTTGGCCCAAGCTTCAAACGGGAATTTACTGACCACTTCTTCCCATCAATCTTTCCTGAACCACTACAGCGACTATGTGAGCCACACCATATGTTCATACATTGTATCATACATACTTGCCATTTTTGAAATAAATAATATTATCCCGTACACCCGACCATGTAGCCCTCCGCCAACGCTGTGACGACATCAGGAAGAACTCAACAAAACGTTGGTCCAACAAGAAGATCGCGGCAATGGCCCGGCGCCAATACTACTACCAACTGGTTATGGATAAACCGCCAACCTCAAACCGAGACACAGCCAGACACGACAGCATCAATCGCTGCTTCGAGTCTACATCAATCCGGCTCTGTGCTATGATTGTAACGAATACGTACATGTTCACATTGCTCGACTACCGCACCGACGGCTGTCTCTGCCCTGTCTGCCCCGGTAGCCACAAGTTCACTACCAGCCACTTTACCTGCATCCAACAACTGATTCGACGCATCCTGGTAGGCCCGAAACTGCCGCCCATTGGCCCTGACCTCCTTCAGCAATTACAGGAGTGCCACGACTTCCACGGTATCTGGACCCTCCACGAACACCTTGGATCTTTTCTCCAGCATGTTGAAGAACCACCGTACCCTCACCCGTCCCTGACACATCAACAGATGTTCCCTATACCCCGGCTAATCACGCTGTTGAAGTACTACTTCCAAATATCGGTTCAACCCAAATCATCGCGCTTGTTGGTTCCGACTATGATACTTCCGATCCAGGCCAGCCAACACATACCGAATTCATCCGTGGTCTGGTGCGGCATTAGCTTACCCCCATCCTCACTTCTCGACCGGATTAAGACGGATAACCTGGTCCTTCTCGGTATTTCGTACTCTGCAAACGGGAATTTACTGACCACTTCTTCTCATCAATTTTTCCTGAACCACTACTACACACTTGCCATTTTTGAATTTTTTTATATTATCCCTATCAAGAATGCACGCCAGCCAGCCACGACACGAATAAATATTTTAACCAAAAAAAAATACGGATGAGGAAAAAGCTCGTTTTGGCGGCACCACCGCACCAGAACGGCCAAACTCATCCCGCGATGAGCACTTCATTTTACGCGTTTGCTTTTTAGAACTTGTGATCTAGTTGTGAATATGTGATACGTGTCATCGTGGCTAGCATTCACAAGGATAGTCACAATGCCCGAAGAAGCAGTCAAAACAGGTATGAGAACGGGGTGTGGCACAATATACAATTGTGTACCATTTATGGAACATGTGGTGTACAATTGTGTACCATTTATGGAACACGAACATGTGATAGACTGATAGAATCAAGTAATGAATCGAATCTGTCGGTGTTGCAATGAGAGCATCTTCTTGGCTAGCCTTTGAAATGACCATATTACCGGAAGGAGCAGACAAAACAGGCAAATGAATGGGGTGTGGCACAATGTACAAGTTTATAATTTATTATTATTTGTTTACTTGTTTCATTGTAATTTATTGATCTGATAGACAGCCTGTTCCTTTGTCAACTTGACAGACAGATGCACGGTGTGTAGTTTGCATCAATTATGTGATTTCTAGATTCTTTTCTGTATATACATGTAGCATGCAAAAGGGCAGTATGTGTCATATCAGGTATTTTATGCGGGTGCGATACGTTTGAATTGTATTAAAACAATACTGTGGCATAAACATTATTATTGTTTCGATCCATTCTCCTCTCGCTACACTGACATCTTGAATCTGCACATGCCCCTTATACGCTCTCGGCTGTCTACAAAAGGTTTATTTTGGGTATCGATTATATTCATGCCCCATATGTAGTAGCCAACTTCAGTAAAGGATTGCGCTGAATGGGTTTGAACGTTGTTGAGAATCTTGGGCACTGTCAGTTGTTTTATGAGAACTCGACTAGAGCGGAAGAATTTTTTTCACCTATGAAGTACAATCAGAGACGAGTTTTACAGGTGTATCCATAGGGGTTTATAGTGCAGACGTAAACGATTTCGTCGAAAATCGTAAAAGTTGAAGGCACGAAGTAGTTCATGGAAGGCTATGGCAGAACAAAGATTGATCCACCATTTTCCATATATCTAAAGTGTGCTATACTCTTTTCGGAATTACGCACTGGTTCGCACACCTAGAATGATTTTGTCATACACATGTTACCACAATGCAAAGGTACATCAATACGGGAGTTGTACAAAATCAATAGTATTGTATAGTTTGCGTTCGATCTTGCGATTTTTCAACTTACTACAATTTTCCTGCAATGGTTTAGGTATATATATAATCAGGACTAACGTATTTTTTTAAATTTTTTTCAGGTAAAAAACCAGCGCCACCAAGCTTTCTAGAGAGGTATGTTCTTGGTAATCTGATGCACTACTGCAACGGTAGCAATGAGAAACCCGATAAGCCTCTGCTGGTCACCATCAGCGTTTCTCATTTCTGGTATGTCTAGAGTGATCTGGTATGTTGTTATATGTAGTCAGTTTGCTGTGCATGTTTTGCAGACCTAGGTACGACCACCAGCAACGTTGCTTGTGACTCCATTAATCCCCTAGTGTTCGAATTTTCAATAAGTGGTTCTCGGTGATGAATTTGTACAAATTATTAGGATGTGTACTTAGCCTGGAGTCATGTTGAATCATAGTTGAATCCGCGGACTTGAGTGTGGCAATGATTATGACTGAGAATCTATCCCATGTTTATTAGAGACCGACTTGCGCCGGCCAAAACAAGCCTGTGTAGATGGATAATATTCCAGCTGGCTGTTTAATCATTGAAGTCATTTAGTTCCACAACTGTCTCACATCTCGAATATGTCACTCCGATCCAGAAATTCTAAAGTGCGCACACGACATTATAATCAACCTGCAACTACTATACCACCTGCCAATACAATCTGTGTCTTAAAATCTTCTCATTAGCGAACGGGCCAGATGGGCTCTAGATCTTTCTCCATTGTGGGATGACTACATGGAAGATTCGCACGCTCCAGGTGTGTTTATTTAGAGTTGGAGATATAAACACCACAGGCCCACTTCGTCGTTATTGTGCTTTTCTCAAGTACATTGTTGCCCATGCTATATACTCAGAGAATACGTCGCTTTGCGATTCGGAGACGATCACATAGGAAAACTCGGTTGCATCTTCCTACGGGAAATTCGATTATATAGTTCTCAAATATAACAAATACTCACAGGAATGCATATGCCGCAAACAAATCGTCTAACCGACTTCCAGAATACTTCTACTCCAATGATGAAATTGCCGGGTACAAACCAATTGATCGAGGGTTCCGATGAAATACTTAAATATCTCGCCGAGACTTACCCCGAGGTAAGAAAGTGCGGGTGGGCGGTGGGCAAATATTGTGCAAAATGTTGTATACTGCATTTCCGTTGGTACACAACCTTGCAATGCAGACTTTTCTAAATTGGTCGTGTCAGACGGTTTGACAAGTCCTTCTACACCAAATTTATCCAGCAAATGCAATATTGGTGTTTTGTGTGTATACGAGTATCAGAGAAGACTTAGCTATCAATTTACCCGTGATCTGTACAACTTGTGACAAGTGCGGTATGTGAACATCGTCCGAGGTTTACCTGCGGACCAGACGTACACTGCTCACTTTGATCACTTCTCGAGCACCCAGATTTATTTGCAGTCGTATGGATATTCCTAAACGACAGCCTGTACTTGTCACCGGCTCATATTTTGCCAACATTCGTTCGACACTATGAGTGTGGGTTTTTATACCCACATGGCCACGAGATTGAGATTTTGGAATGGGAACACTTGTTCGCGGATACGATAGGGGTTCTGGATAGAAAATGGGCCTATACCCATCTCCTGTGTATGGTATGTATTAGAGTGGTGTTTTTGGTATTTGGAGCCAGTGCACCTACTTTCAATCTGCAACGAATACGCAGAAGTAGTCGGAGTATATTTTTTTGTCGCGATGATGCATGGAACAAGTCGCGATTACGTCGCGACGTTAAGTTTATGAAAGTACTAACACGAGCCTCATCGTGTCGTAAAATACACACGATTGGATCGTGCACCCTTGAGAAAGTTTGGCATACCCAACGCCGTCTGCAACACTATTATAGTATCAGTCTGGCCTGACTTTAGCCGTACGTCCTCATCGACAACGGTAACAGACTGTTTCAGAATATTCCATGATTCCCACTAACCATGCTGATCTGCGACATACAGGCCGATGAAGACGATCAAAAGCGCCTCACTGAAATGAACGGGCCCTTTATGGCTCAAAGTGGTGGGACTCTCGAGAGGGTACTGTTTGGCATGGCTTGGCCCGTGATCGGGAAGCAGATCAAAAGGCAGTTCAAGTTGAGCAAGGAGAAGGAGGCCGAACTGGTGCAACAACTCGACGAAAGTAAGTTTGGCCGCAAATGGTATCAACAATTGCGCTTATCAAGTCGGAAACAGGCGTTGTACGAGTTTCTATTTGCGCTGTTGAATAAGGTTTTAGTCTCGCTGGAATAGACTACAACCCTAGTCACTGCCACATAATTTATCATTGGTACACACTCGTTTGTTTCGCGTCTTTGCACGGCACTCTTCGCATATAAGCGAGTCTATATTTTGCATCCGGATCATTGATACAACTTTCGATGTGTGACTTTCACAAGTATATACAGCCGGGTTTGTAATTGTGCGTAGGTATTATGAGATAGAAATGTGTTTCGTATCACGTTGCTTGTTCATTAGTCTGTGATAGTATATTCATCATGTCCACAGCTCTGACTATCTCGCTTCACTTGAATTCAATTGCCCAATTGTTACAGTTCGAGCCACGTACTCCGTAGTCATCAATAATTTCTTTGATCACATCAGGCTCTTCAAATAATCCTGACTTAGACACAGTTTATTATTCATGCACGAATACGGGGCATGTATACACCTTTTTTTCCTGGAGTATCACTTCTTGTTGTGCCGTGTATGGCGATATTTCATACACTCACATAATTGCGTCCGAATTGGATACACATTAACATTACTCCCTAGCGCATATTGCCTGCATGTACTACTTGCCACCCGACGCATCGACAACCACCTGATAGACTACCAAACTTCCTATCTCGGCCCATTCTGCAGTTATGGACAAAGTGAACAGGGCTCTCGCTGATGGCCGCGAGTACCTCGTTGGCGATCGTTTCACAGCCGCAGATCTGACCTTCGCATCGCTGGCCTATCCATTCCTTGCCCCACCCGAGATGGGAGATGTGAGCCCCTGTCCAACAATTGGAGGAAAAAGGTACCTCGAAGATCTGTTACAAGGTCCTCTGAAATTGTACATGGAAAGGGTAGAGGGATGGCAGGCAACTCCTGCTGGCAAGCTAGCGCTGAGGGTGTATCGTAACCACAGGTTTAGTGTGAAGGGCGATGTACGTGCAGGGGAGATGGTCAGACTCAGTCGCAATTCGGAATGGTGAGCACAAGACTAAGAGTGCTAAAGGCGGGTTCCTTGAGCTACGAGTAAAATTTATGATATTTGGTTCCGGATGCAGAATACTTCATATAGGGCAGGTAAAATTTCCAGAAACACTAACAAACAAACTCTGTTTGACAATCCCCTTTTCGAAGTCGGTTTCTGCAGCGATGGGCTAGTTTGTCTTGATCCATTCGCGCCATGGTAGACAGTCATAACAATCAGGGACCTCAAACTCTCACTTTATAGACGGGAATAAATCATTTAGAATAACATTGAAAACGACTACAGAACAGCCAAGGTAGACAGTCATATCAATCAGGGACCTCAAACTCTCACTTTGTAGACGGGAATAAATCATTTAGAATAACATTGAAAACGACTACAGAACAGCCAAGGTAGACAGTCATATCAATCAGGGACCTCAAACTCTCAATTTGTAGACGGGAATAAATCATTTAGAATAACATTGAAAACGACTACAGAACAGAGTACCAGAGGTATACTAACGGGTGCGATTGTTTCATGTATACGGTTTATTGCAACTATTATAATCTTGTTGCTGTAGAGCCCATTGGTCTCCTTGCAGTTGGGGAGACCATTGCTCTCCTTGTAGCTGGTGAGCCTATTGCTTTCCTTGCAGTTGGGGAGTACTTTGGTGCTGGAGAAGTACTTGGTGATGAGTCCGCACTGCGTCGCGCCGAGGTCCTCAATATCAAAGGAACCTTAACGTGGAGTGATTTGGTGGAGAATGTATCGCTCACACTGATCTTGCCCTCAAGGAAGTATTGGACCGAAAGCTGTATTAAAAGGGAAAAAGATCATTTCGAACAGATGAATTCAATAAAAATCAAGAGGTAACACTTGTGTACAATACTAGTGTATGTACACACACGTCCCAGCAGTGCTTTAGCATATCGATGATACATCTAGAAAAGTCATTGCGCAAAGTTGGAAGTGATCATATACATGCTCAAATATCTGTGCACTTGCTGAAGTTATTTTCGAGACAAATCTGGGCACCTCCTTGGGCCTTCGCATCATGAAATTGTACGTTTCGATTGTTCACTACATCCAAAACTTCAAGGGATGTTCTACATAATTTTCTATTCTATCAGCGTGCACTATGACGCGCACTTCATTATAGGCATTCACTCCCCATATATGCGAATCCATAGGTAAGGCTTTGAACGATCCCAACACAATAAACAAAAAGGACGGCATCGATATAGAAGTTGGCATTCTCATTCAGTGCGTCTTGGCGGATGCGATCCGTGCGGTTCGAGCTTTGTCTGCACCACCATCGCCGGACTTATTTAACAACATAAACGTAGACCATCGAACAACATACCTGTAAAGCTTCTGATTCGAAAGAGAAGGACGGGCACATGTTTACCATCATCGGCGCGAGCGTTTGATGAAGCGCATGATCAGGCATTGGTGTACCAGTTGGGGAGGCATTGCCTGAGCTTTGTGTATTGCCTGAGTTCGGTATATTGCCCATGCTGTGTCTGGGACTGTGCAACGGGCTTGCCCGGGTTGGGGTGGACGTTGGGGACAAACGCACATTACCCATCTGCACGCTGAGGCGGGATGTGGCGATGTGCTTTTTCCGGATATCATCGGCGGTCGGATGCACTGTCATGACGCAGTTGATCTGTGTATTGGGAACCGAAAAATGCTGATTTGAATATTTGTAATAATAAAAGAGTCGAGAAGCAAACGAAACAGTTGTGAGGTGGTCACGAGTGCGCGAACCAAGGAAACCCCATGTGAAGATGACATTCAACATTACTAACTTAAAGCAAACACTCTAACGACGAGAGAAGCGTAGTGGGACGAATAGTACCTATTGGATTCAATTGATTAACTTGTTCCATTCAACCACAACGAATAGATGGCTAGTACAAACACCTCACAAAAATCACCCCGACTCACGACAAACTGCATGAATATCAGTGGCACACAGTCACTAATCACACACCTCGCTTGCCCTGCTATTCAAAATACGTTTGCTCTTCTGAAATTGTGTCGTGTATGACACGGTTGGGGACTTATTGTCATCCCCGAGAAAGCTGGAGAGTCGTGCAATGCTGTTACGAGGCGACAACATACTTCTCCTTGCCCTGGGAGAGAAAGTAGGCGGGATTGCACAGGTCGGAGCACCTGCTTGTTCTCCTGAAAACAAGAATCAAATTATACGATCAACAAATGCTTTCGAGTACAATGGTGGTGCAATTGGGTCTTGTTCAATTTCTAATTTTGGTAAAACTTGCACACCAACACTTCAGGTGCCGCAGAGTATCACATTCGTATCGGCATATATTCAGCACCGAACAAAACAAGACACCTGAAACTGAAGAACAGAATAGGCAGTAATGATTGCTACGTAGCTATATTTCCTATCGGTGTCCCGCGGACGGAATTAAGAGCCATATTTGATTGTAATCCTTCCTTAGCCTTTCTCTCCATATTTGATTGTAATCCTTCCTTAGCCTTTCTCTCTTTATAGTGCATCATGAAATACACATCAGGTGTCGCACTGTACAGTTAAAT